GCTCGGCAAAGTGTCCAAGGAAAAGGTGGTTTCCATCAACTGGGCCTAGATCCCTGAATGACGTCACTACTCAGCTGGCAGCCGATGGGGTCCATGAGTCAAGGGGTCATAAAGAAACATCTGCTCCATTCGGTAGAGTGCTGTCCTGTCTGCAACAGTCTCGGCTATTAGTAGAGAAGTTGTGAAGAGTAAGACATCAGGTCAGAGACGTGAGAGGAATGTTAGAGTGAAACTTAATAGATTTAAGAGCTGCGTTTTCATTTCCATTTGTAAATTGTTCTTCTATTTTGAATCAGGAGACACTTTAATTATAATTATATTTATAATTAATTAATTATAAAGCAAATACAAATAGACCTTCCATAGACAGATGGCATATTTCATCATATTTTGCCCGTAGGGATTGTGACAACTAAACACCCTTCAACCGAACTGCTAACATAGACTTTAAATATCAATTAGACAATTCAACAAATATGGCTGCCAGCAGCCAATCAAATTTCAGCAGCTAATAACTTAAATTGTGAATGGCTGATCATAATGAAATCTGGCAAATATGTATCTAGATGAAACACTGAACCACATTTTGTTAGAATTGGCCTCATAGTGGAGCTAAAAACAAATGTACCCTTTAATAGTTAAAATGTTAAAATACATCACATAAATGCATTATATTGCTTCCAAAGATTTTAGTGAATAAGACGCATTGACTACTAATTTTAAACTTTTATGCTGCTTTTGTGTCATTTTTGGAGCTTGGCAGCATCTGGGCACTTCATACTTTCACTGAAAAGAGCGGCTTGGACATTCTACGTTTCTGTTTTGGAATGGCATGAGGGTGAGAAAATGATAAAAAACTAATTGTTAAAGGATTTCTTTAAAGGAGAAGGAGTTTTGTTTACTATCCATTTTAGCACTGGTCTTACGAGCTTAGTGCTAACTATTTATTATGTGATAAGTACATGCTGTTTTCCAGCTAGATCATCACATGGTTTGTCCATTGAACATTTTGTAACTTAAACATTCTGGAGCCTATTGATTGTTAATATGTTTTGTATAAGAATTAAATTAGTTCTAAAAATGCTTGTACACAGTGGCAGGGATGTTAGCCGCTTAGGTTAGGGTTGTGTGCTCCTAAGGCAGAGAGACATTTAAAGAAAGAGTGCAGAGGGAGGGTTATTGTACGGATGTATGAGCATCTAAATTTGGGGTGTAGTGTGAGTGTTTTGTGATATTTGCGACTGTTGGTAAGACTTTCTATCTCTAGAGCCTTGTTTGTTTATTCATGTGTCTAAATTTGTGTGTGGAGTCTATACTTCTGTCTGGGCTCCATTTGTGCCTATTTAAGGGTCAACTGCAAGTCTGTTCATTTCTACCTGTTAATGTTTGCGCATGTGGGTACGGTTACTTACAGTATTCAGAGCCATTTCTTTGTCAGTATCTTCCAATATGCGTTTAAATGGATGTATAAAGTTAATTCCTCTTAAAGAGATCACCCAAAAATGAAAATTCTGTCATAATTTACTCACCCTCAAGTTCCAAACCTGTATGAGTTTCCTTCTTCTGTTGAGCACAAAAGAAAATATTTTGAGGAATGTTGGTAACCAAACAGTCGATGGTAGCTGTGACTTGTTGGGGTTTGTTTTAATATTTTGTTATCTAAAATAATGACATTTATAGATTTTAAAGTGTGGCTTAAATGTCCAAACACTTGGGCCTCAGTAATTATACATAGGTCTTTAGTATGCCTGTGTAGGTGTATAAATAACATGGATGATTTTTAGCAGATTATTCAATGCTATAGAGAAATTTGCATTTTCAAATAAGTCCTTCTTCTTCTTTTCCATCAATGGGCCTCATTCACAGCCACGGAGGTTTCTGTGTCGTCATCACTTTTTTATTTCTAAATTACATCCTTGAAACCACTTCTGTTAGCATGTATAACTGTGATCTAAAGCCAGTGATTGGGCAAGAGGTCATGTCATGTTTTTATATTTATTTAATCAGAATTGAAAATATGTGCAAACTTTAACAGTATTATTTTGCAAGCATTGCTTGCACCACAAGGAGCCGTTCATTACAGTGATTTTATTATTATTAAATTTAATATTGGCTTAGGCACTCATGTTGGTCTTTGACCATGTTACAAACACTGTAAAATGTGTGTTTTGCTTAAAAACTATAACATCAGACGTCTGATTACTGAGTATTGAATGAATGCACAGAAGAACAGACTGTTAAATATATGCTGTAAAATGTACAGCGGTGTCTCACAAGTGCCTCTATTGTTAGATAAGCTATTTTAGTACATAGATACAGCCATTTCAAAAGAAAGAAAAGAGATTTAAATATAGGTTGTCCATGACATCTGCTTAAGTACTCAGTCACTGGGCAAAATCTCTACCAAAATTACACCGGGGAGACCAGATCACCACAGAATGGACCAGCCACAAGAATGTTTAAGATGTGAAATGTCTTGCGTAAGTTTTTACACACATAATATTGGGTGTATCATGTATCATAACTTCATTATGTGCAGGTAGAGGCTCATGATCTGTTATGCAACAGCAACCATATTGAAATAACACAGGGTTTAGATTTAGTGAAGTTACGACTCAGGCTCTGACATGCACAAAGTTATGAAGCAGTTCACGATCCACCTTCATCTTCATGTTGAACTGCATTTTGAAGATTTATTTTGGAGATAAAGTGATAAATTCGCCCTATGTTTGTAAAAAAAATTAAATAAATAAAAACACAGAAATTGCAATTGTAGTAATGCACTTTTGACATTATTTTCACAGCTAATATTATTGGCATCTTTATGATAAATTGCATGACAATTTTAAAATTTTTAAGTGGACAAAAGCATCTGCTAAATAAACGGTAGATCATAAATATAATACATAATATATGTAAACATTTCATTTCATATACCATTATTAGTTGGGAAACTTGTATATACAATATAATATAATATAACAAATATAAAAAAATTGTTTTATGGTTCTTCTGTATATCTGTGATGCTGTACTATTTATTTTCATGTAGCATCAATATTCTGGTAAATATTTAGTTCAGGCAAATTTGAGAACTTCTATCATTAATTAAGAAACATTAGTACAAATAAGTTTTTGTACCAATTTTACTTTTTTTTTTCTGCAATATTCTGTAATATTCTTGTGCTTTCTGGAACATTCCAAAACATTGTGGGACTAGATGAAAGAATCATCCAGAGTACACTTCTGAAGTTTTGGACAACTCAGTTATTGTTAGCTCAGTATTATGCATGCACAATGAGTAATAACTGATTAGCTTGTGTAAGTTGTCAACATAGTTTTCATGAGCACTGCCATTCTCCTTCAAGATGGCGCCGCAAATGGCATCCACGACGCTGAGCTCCGCAATTCTTCTGTTGTTTTTGTTTGTTTGTTCTGTGTTTTGTCATTCTTCTTCTATAAGTTTTACCAGAGACGAACTCCTTAACATTAAGCAACATCCCAGACAATATTTTTCTGGTTTTTGATTATTCGGATATGTTGTTGACCGCAGTAAAGATAGTTTGCGGTTTGATATTCAGATTTCTTTTGGCTATAAATACGCAGTACGCTGTCATAGACATGCAAATAATACCGAATATCATTCTCCATGATTTGTGAATTCAGGTGACGCTGTCCTTCGGGCCGAAATCAGGGTTTTTTTTCGTAGCTTAATTTTATAATGCCTATAGCTCCAAAAGTTGGACACTTAGAGGAATGAAATCGTTGTCATCTTCACCAGCTTGATCTGTGAATTTTTTTCAGAGCAAAGCTCTTGTCCGTAAACGCCTTGGTAAGTCTGCTAGTAAGGAATGTGAAAAAAAGGAGTTATTAATGTTTAACGTCTATTACCAATAAACACGCAGACTGCTGGAATACAAAAACATTGTTTTAGGTCGAGCTCAATTTGTGAAAACTTTCACAATTGCATTTTATCGTGTGGCAGTGTTTCTCTTTGCTCTGACCCCATTTTTTGTATAATAATGTCATACGGTGCTTTTCCAGTGAATAACGGTTTACAATTCATTAGGTAAATGAGCATATACACATATATACTTGTACACTTTGTTTGACAATAAAGTTTTGGTTGTTGTACCTTTCCTTGAGTACTTGGCTTCAATATTCTGATTTGCGAAAGTTTCACAGTATAGCTTTTGTCAGTTAACCCTTTCTTGATCCCTTAACAAAGAGAAACACTGCCATATGATAAAATGCGATTGTGAAAGTTTTCACAAATCGAGCTAAACCTGAAACAATGTTTTTGTATTCCAGCAGTCTGTGTGTTTATTGGTATTAGATGTTAAACATGAAGAACGCCTTTCTTTCACATTCCCTACTAGCGGACTTACCAAGGGGTTTACGGACAAGAGCTTTGCTGTGAAAAAAATCACAGATCAAGCTGGTGAAGATGACACTGGTTTCATTCCTCTAAGTGTCCAACTTTTGGAGCTATAGGCATTATAAAATTAAGAGTCGCTATGAAAAAAAACCCTGATTTTGGCCCAAAGGACAGTGTCACTTGAATTCACAAATCATGGAGAATGATATTCGGTAGGCTATTATTTCCATGTCTATGACAGCGCACTGCGTATTTATAGCCAAAAGAAATCTGAATATCAAACCGCAAACTATCTTTACAGCGGTATGTAACTAATCAAAGATGATGCAAAAAAAAATCCACCTTAAGAAGAGATGTTCAAATAATTAGGTTAATAGAGCAATTTCTGGAGCACTTCAGCAGGTGTCCTCCATGTGAGAGTGACAGTGGGAAAAAGTGTTTTGGAGGAACATTAAAATGTAATTTGACTTAAAAACAGCACATCAACTACCTTAAGGCTGGCTCTTTTAATTACCATATTGCAATATCTTGTTTTTTTTTTTTTCAGAATAACAAGGAAATAAGTAGAAGTTAATTGTTGCCATATGGCAACTCTGTACCATAGAGGGTTAAGTATACAGATACTATTGAGAGCGTTTGAATCCACAGATACCCAAGCAGGTCAAGACCAGGTCAGCAACATACAGGCCGAGATTAACATAGGTCATGATGGTCACAACAAACTGGATGCTCCATATACAGCTGTTTCCCGGACAGTCTTTGGGCCGCGGGTTTCCTCTGAAGCTGTAGGTGGGCCAGAGAATGGCAGCAGAGATGTAAAGCAGAACCGATATGACCAGGAAAATCATTGTGAAACGATCAATGCTGAAGGGCAGACAGTTCTTTAACTTGGTCAAGATGTTGGTGATGATGGTCAGGAGGGTTAGAGGCAAAGGAACCGCGTAGGCCACGATGCACCACAGCAGAGCCGGTTGACCCACGTAACTGATCAGGGAAATGAGGATGATGCAGGCAACGAAGGCCTCGAGAACCTTAATGAAGCCT